TACATTGCTTCGGTGAGGATAGTTATTGTGGAAGGGTGTGAGTGTGGGTGGGTGTGGGTGTGGGTGTTGGTGGTGTCAGTGTGGGGTGTCGGTGTGGGTGTGGTGTAGTGAAAACAAGACTCACACCGACACTCACATCCACGCCCACACCCACACCTACATCCACCCCACACTCCACATCCACACCCACACCGACCACACCCACACCGACCACACCCACACCCCACACCCCACGCCCCACACCCACCCATACCCACACTCATATCTTTACGATGAAAACTTGATATGGTAATGAATATTGCTAGTGGAATGAGAAAAATACATGAACATCGAATGATACATAGAGATATTCGACCTGATAATATTCTTGTAAATGAAAATTATGTAGCTGAAATTGGTGATATGGGAATAGCACGTGTTATTGATCCTTTAAATCATCATACACAAATTGGATGTGCATCATATATGCCACCAGAATTCTATCATGGTACTTATGATCAAAAGCTCGATATTTTTACATTTGGTTTAACATTAAATGAACTTTTTACTTAAAAAAAACACATATTTCGCATGTTAGCTAGTAACAAAATTGCTTTTCAGGAAGAAAGTCCTATATTTGCTGATTTGATCGCTCGATGTACTGCTGATGATCCTAAACGACGTCCGACAGCGACAGAAATTGAAAAAAACTCTTGATCTATATATTACTGGTTTCAATGAAATTATACTTAAAAAACATCCAAGTTATATGAATTTGTCTACTGAAGATCAAAATGAAATATTTATTGCTTTCTATCAAAAATTTCATCCACCAGCAACTGAATTTATTCGTAATAAATTTCCATCTGAATTTCTTGATAATTCAGAAAAATGTACCTGGAGTTAAAGTTGATAAAGATGCTGGTAATCAAATTCGTATCGAATGTCCCATGCAATAATTCTTTTAATAATATTCAATCTAACATTTAATATTTTTGATTCTGACTATAAATTCATTTTTCTACATGTTCATCAACTCTAATATTTCTAAATTTAGAATTTTTCTTGTTCTTCTAATATTTAATTAAGATTTTCATTATAATTTACAAAAAAAATTTTAATTTTCACAAATTCACATTATTTTCCAGATATTTCAACTATATAGTTATGAGTTCAACTTCATTTGGTAAAAAACAATGTATGTTGTGTAACAAAATTGACGGTATATTGACTTGTGACGGATGTCAACAAGCTTTCTGTGGTAAACATGGCATTGAACATCGACAACAACTTAATATTGGATTAGAAAATATAATGCAAGAACATGATTTAATTCAACAAGATATTGGATTATCAATAGATAATGATTTATTATTGAAAGAAATTGATAAATGGGAACAAGAATCTATGAAAAAAATTCAATTAGCAGCTGAAAAAGTTCGAACTGATCTAAAACAAATTCTTGAAAGTTCAACTAATCAAATTTTAAAAACATGTCGAAATGTTGCATCGAAACTTCTTTCTGCACGAGAAGCTGAAATTTTTTCAGAAATTGATTTAAAACGATGGACAGAACAATTAAATGAACTTAAATCACAAATAAAATTATTATCCATGATTCATATTGTAGAAGAGAATAAGTCTCCTGTTTATCTCATTGAGATAAAACAAACTAACAATGTGAATACATACATAAAAAACAAAGAATTATTATCATTTAAAAGAATTGAAGAAAGATTTATTGAAGGAAATGGTTTAGCTATAATCGAAGATGGTGGTCTTCGTATCAAACATATTGATAGTGATCATAAATTTATTTATTTTCGTGGTCAAAAATCTTATACGAATGGTTGTCATACGTTACAATTTAAAATTGAACATAGTACAGGTTCTTATGATACTTTTATTGGTATTTCTTCATCTGATATTAATTTACGACAGATTATGTATCATTAAACTGTTGTTGCTAGTTGGTTTAATACTACTGAAGTATGGCTACATGGAAGACGTATTAAAAATACTAAACGTCAAGGATCGAAAAACGATGAAATAAAAACTAATGATATAATTCAACTAACAATTGATTGTGAAAACAAACAAATTGAATTATTTCATGAACGAACAAACAAAAAACATAGAGTTATTGTTGATTCTAATCAAGCTTCTCTTCCATGGAAAATTCTGTTAGCATTACGTCGAAAAAATGATTGCGTTAAGATTTTACAGAGCATTTAAATTATGACATCTGTACAGTATTGTTAATGAAACCGTCATCGATTGCAAGAAAGATCTGTTGAGACTTAAGAACATGTTTTGACAATGAAACATAAATGTATCAGAATGTAACACATACTGATTTGTTATTTTCCAATGCAGTGATTTTCTATATCAACTTCCTCAATTGTTGTTTTTTTTTCTCATCATAGATTTTTGAGACGTTTCATGACTGAGAAATTGTTTGAAAATTAAGTTGTAATCAATATGAAATAATTATTGTATTGAAATATTGATTTAGATTGATGATGAAAGTGTGCAATAGATCATATGAAGAAAAGTAATTCAAAAATGATTCATGATACAAGGGTGTGGATGGGTGTGGGTGTGGAGTGTGTGTGATAAGTGTGGGTACGGGTTTGGCTGTAAGTGTGAGCGGAGCGTGGATATGGTATTGCGTATGTTTGTGTGCAGTTGCGGGTCTTCTTTCCATTCACACCCACACCCACACCTTACCCACACTCGATGCTCATACCCACCCACACCCCACATCCACACACAGCCCAAACCCACCCTACACCCACATCCTCTTGTTAAGATCTGTATGAGAGTGGGGTCAGACTGAGCAAGAATAGACTCATAAAAATGATATTTGATTGTTTTATCTAAGATCTTTTGAAGAAAATGGATCGGAACGGGGTCTCATGAATGGAGAATCTTATGCTCTATCGATTAATACTATCTTCGAATTAAACGGTAGTAAGAGTGGGTGAGAGCGTATTTGACTAATACCCGTTTTGAAGGATATTCATTGTTACAAGTTATTAATAGAAGTATTAGGCATAGGGTGTTTGTTTGCACTTGTTGCTCTTGGTTGCATATTCTCAAACGAAATGGAAAGGACATGAACTGCAAAGCTTCGCGCCAAACAAAATGCCAAGCTGATCGACATTCATAGTTGCGGACAATATTTCGGAACTTTTAAGCTCTGTATAAAAAGAAACTATTGTTTTAGAGCCGATCTCTGTTACATCGAGACCATGATTGCCGTACATGGTTTGAATGGAAGTCGACTTTCAGCGGAATATAGTACTGTTTGAAAAAAGATAAGGCAAACCAATTCTATTAATCTGTAGCATAAATCGAATGGCGTTTTTTCTTGCCTATTATCGACAATGTGACCGGGTACCATCTGCTATTAACTTTCAATAATGGTTGAAGTATGATTATTTAAGGTGTCTGTAGATGCTTAACTCGACTTATTTGCTATTCAAAAAAACAAATGATGTTTGCAATTTCCATCGCTGCCACTGTACTCTTCTCGACTGTTAGCATCATATTGCCATTGGGTATGAAGTCGAGAAAGGATCACACACTGGTACTTGTTTTATTTCATCAATTCTTCTTTTTGTTCTATAGCGAAGCCGGCCTTTAGCCAGCCAACGGGTAAGTCTATTTCGTAATAGTAACTTGGACATTGTTTCCATCAATACCATCCCATCGGTCAGATACTGCACGACTTCAACTGTTAGGTGTATGAGATCCTGCATGCTCACCTGACAAATCCACATTCGTTCATTCCATAGCTTTCCCATTGTTTCTCTGGTTTCCATAGTTTTGTTCAAATTTTATTGCAATTTCTGGACTTTCATCAGTTTCTCTGACCTGTCAAAGATTTCATCCAATTTTCTGAAAGTTCTTTTGCAGAAAATTCCTAAAATATCCAGGACTCTGTCGTTATTTTTTGGTAGAAAGGGTAAATTTTTGTGATCAAGTCAAAGATGATACGTTTGAGCATTGTTTATTAATGCTTTTCTTATGAATCAAAGCTTCGAATACTTCTCTATCAATGACAAAGGTCAAAAACAGTGGCACAATTGTTTTATACACAAATAAAGAGGCTAAGAATGCACGTAGGAATGAATGGACAAAAAAAATCGAATTAGTAAATAAGTTTAAATATGTAGGATTTACATTGACAAACAAATTATCATTGAAACTAACAATTGATAGATGTATAGGAAACATTCAAAAATCCCCTGGGAAGCTTAAATAGTTAAGAGCAATACGCTTCATATCCATCAAGGTGCTTTGACAATGTTTTTTTCGCATACACGTTTCCTCACTTTGCGTGGTTATTTCCATTTTTCTCCTGCTTCTCAAGTCACAACAAAAACTTTTACAGCAGAAATTC